CCAACGACTGAAAAGAATGTTTTTCCTTTGCAGACATGTTAGCTTTTGCTAATTTACTTACTAAATGTAATTTTTCACAAATATGGAGAATATGAATATTACTGATACTGTGTAAAGATTTCACTTGCACTTACGGCAATTTTAAATACTTGCTTTTTAATATTCAGACTTTTTTGCCAGAGTGGCCACGATAGACACTTCCTCCATGTATGACTCTTGTTGGCCTGAAAATTTGAAAACCCTTTGAGCCAAATAAAAATATATCCATATGCTAAAGGATAATCGTGGAGTGTGTGCCTGTGTGTTTCAGCATCAGATGCTTCTCTTGGGGTCAGGCAAAGGTTCTGAATGCCTAACAAATGAAAAATACCACCAGGGGCTCCAGGAGAGGTGCACACACACAAACAAAATGCATGCACACAAAGACATAAAATTTGAACCTGAAACCTTACAGTTTAAATAAAAAAGGGAACTTTTGTCACTGAAAGATCATACATGTCAATAAATTTTTTTTGTTTATGCAAAATGGTAAACAAGTGTGACATTACACACACCATCTTCATGTACTTGTAATGTGGTTAAGTTTCACTTTAAAATGTTATGGAGGAGGTTATGAATACTACTAACTTTCAACACCTAATATACTGTAAATATAAAAACAAATTAAGGGGAATTAAAACAGTATGAATTTTAGCTTATATTTTTAAACTAGGAATTGGTACTAGCAGTCTACTGTTGTAATACATGCTATTACTAGTAGGACAGGGTCAGTCTTCAGGACCGGAACCAGTGAGACACCTGTTATGAACTGAAGGTGATGGACAAACAGCATATGCAGAGCGAGAGAGAAGGTTGTTGGGTACTTTTTTATTTTAGAACAGAGGAATGGTTGGCTTGCTGTATCTCCCTAACAGGTGACAGCCCCCCTATGCTTGGCAAACCTTACATACACCCATATCCTTATGCACACACACTCAGACACCTCACATTACTGGCTCATTATCAGTAAACCTGAGGATATTAACACTCTCGAGGCCAGTAAAGAGCAGTTTATGTAAAATGCATGCTTAAATTGTAAGGTGTGTTTTTTAAATTGACTACATAATATACAAACAAACTCAAATTCACACACACACACACACACACACACAGTGTAGATATAAATAGATAGATATATACACATACATACAGAGAAGAATTATTTACATATACACACACACACACATAGATAATATAACTTTTTAATAATAGTAATAACCATTATCAGTCAACTTAAATGGGAGTAATAATTCAAATAGTTTATTTCTGCCCATAATGATTTTCATATCCAGCAATAAAGTGTAATTCAATTCAACTACAGATGCTTTTTAGATTGACTGGCTAGCATGCCTTGTGTACTGGTCAGCACTGTTCTGCCAGGGCTCTCTTTTCCTGTCAGTGTATTGGCATACGGGATCATCTTTCGGTCCCTCAGTGCCTGGCACTATCATCTCTCTACACGGCCAACACTGTGTTACATTTTCACACTCCTGAGTATGTCTCACAGACGTTAATTATGCACTTCTAGTGGATTTTTATTGATTGTGCAATCTATCTTTTGCACATTTACATCTGTTCAACATTCTAAGTACAGAGAGTTACCGAAAATTACATCAGAGCTTAAGTCATTAAGGCCCCAAAACAACCTAGAAAGGGCAGAACATTACGTTCGACCGTTCACACAAATCATGAATAATTCATTCTTGTTTAACAGCTCCTCATACGCCCATTATGGTTTGGGAAGAAAGCATGCCTTATTTCCATCTGTGCAACTCGGGCCACATCGCATAACCATGCACTGTTACATATATTCATCCGTGTGTCTCCTGGTACATTACCAAACTTATGACATTCAACTTCAATACCCACTAATAGCATGCTTATGGTTCACTTTAGTGAGGAGCCTTGTGTTCTGCATTGCATATGACTACTACAAACTCTGGATACTAGATGATATTTTAGAAATCCATGTCTTTTGCTCTATAATGTGGTCAAGCACTCACGACACATCATAAAAAAAGTTTTCTGCTAAGTGTAAGTTCACAGGTAAGTACCCATAAATCAGAATATGCTCCTTGAAGTGTGCTGAAAAAAAATTCTAATTTCAACATTAAAAAGCTGTAAAAAAATGCTATACTAAAAACCTGTGGTAACACTTTTAAGGTGTCCTTGTTACACGTTACATGTACTTCCTATTATAATAACAATTAATTATGCATAATTATATGCCAATAACCCTAAGCCAAACCCTAATCCTAACCCTAACCATAGTAAGTACATGTAGTTAATTAATATTACTCAGTAGTACTTAAATGTATAATTACACTGTAACAAGGACACCTTCAAATAAAGTGTAAACAAACCTGTCAATTGGTAAAAGGCAAGTTACTGTAATAGACCTATTAGGGCACTTTGAGTAATTTTACAGTAAAATACTGATAAATGTTCAGACTTTTGGAGTAAAAAAAAGTCATAATATAATTAACAGTGAAAAAAGCCCAGAATTACCTGTATTAGGCTTTAAATTTGATGCTATTTAAACAATTATGTTTCATATTAGTTTGTGCTATCAATTATGTACACATGGGTTTTAGCTTATGTTGTTTATTTAATGTTTATTGCATTATTTTAATGTCACGTGTGCATTATTTTAATATCACGTGTTACCATGATGATGTTTTGTGTTAGTGTGCATGACACTGTGCATCTTTTATATATTAGTATTTAGCAGCTTGTGGAAAAGTTACTTCAATGATGAACTTGTAGTATGATATAATATTAACATTATATCAGTTGATGAAATTTACGTTCAGTCCTGTAAAACCTATAATGTTGCTACCATACGTTTACAGTAAAGTTCTGGCAACCACTGCAGCCTTTTTTCAAGGATATACTTTTACACTGAATGAAGAGGAAACAGATAAAACTACTATTTTTTTGTTTTGGTTCGTTCATATTTTATCTCTGTCCCATCGTCATTAACAAGTAGGGTTTAACTTTGGGATTATACATTGTGTTAGTCTCAACACCAGTGGCCAATTAATTATCATAGCAACTGCATTTATTAATGTTTATGGTTATAATTTTGCTATTTAATTATTTAATGTTTATGGCCCATTTTGCACAATAAGCCTTACAATATAAGAACTTTAAATTGAAATCCTCATTTTGTGAATGCATATGTAACGCGCACTGATTAGCGCTCGGTTCACAATTACTAAGTTATTATGTGACCACAACTGTGGTACAGTGGTAACTACATAGGATTGCTTGGACCAGAAATCAGAAGACAAGGGTCGAATCACTAGATCAAAAGGCAGCAGAAGGACAGCAAAATAACAGTAAAACAAAATAACTACTAGGACTACTGGGATGCAGTTAATCAAAGAAAAGGTAAGTGTATTGTTCTGATTTTTTTCATATTTCAAAACGATAGTAGGCACAAAAATAACAAGATATTAGAGTTCAAAACTAGTTCAGTGTCTTTAAATTTCAACATCAATCTCTGAAATTCAACCTCAGGTTTTTTTTTTCATTTTCAATATCAGTCTCTCAGTATCAAGTTCAGAAAACAAGTTCTTCAAATCTGTCTCAATTCTGATTGTTAATGAACAGTAATGTTCATTAATAGACTAAACATTTCAGTCCATGAGAAAAAAAACAACTTTTGTCTCCAGGGAAATCCAGGTGAATTTCAATAAAAAATAAAAAAATAAAAATGTGTGCAATTCTGTCCTACCCGATCAGTAAAAATTACTTTTTTACTTGGTTTCCAGGTACGAACAATGGGATGGCTCGCCAGTCCAAACCAGGAATAGGAATCCTCGGCCTGGACAAAATTCAGGATCACAGCAGCAATTCTTCAAACATTCAAAGAAGAGAGGGGGAAAAAAACCCAAAACAAACAAAAATCCGGCCTTGCAAAAACAATCAGTAAATTCAGTTCAAATAAATTCAAAAAAACCATTTCAAATGACTAAAGCGTCCGCTTTAAATACTTTGCGGGACTAACCTTTCACCTATCCAGTTAGAAATCACTTCAGAAACTTTTCCAGTGTGTTAATTATTTATAATAATACAAATAAATTTAGCTTGGTTCTTTTCAGTCTATTAGTTTACAGCGATATAAATAAAATAATACTACCTATAAATATTAGTGACCTGGGTAACACATAATTTAGGGATTTATTTCTATTTTGTGAATTCTAAAGACATGTTTACCTATATTTTCTTTATTTTTAAAGGTCAACAAACATTGACCTATTCCTTGTCAGAGATAGGCTGGAAAAGCCTTCAGATGAGGGAGTCGAAGGGCCACGTCAAGCCCTTCTGTGTGCAGGACATTTCACTCAGATAAAACAAAAAAAAAGCAGAGAAGAATTTCCTGCAAGTGTGAAAGGACAAGTGGACAGCATGTGTATGTCCGCTGACGTTCATGGGTGTTCCAGGAAGAGCACCTGTGGTGTGCAGGGTCGAGCTGTGCTGGTGGCGGCTGATATGTGTATGTGGGGGGCGAGAGGGTCTGCGTGACCTGTTAATGGCCTGGGGGCCATTTGATGACAGTTGCAGTAATCTGAAGCTGACTGGTGTCTCTTACACTCATTTAATCTTTGTCATCAAATCCCACCATCCATCTGATTAATGGCTACAGTTCAACCCTGTTTTCAGAGCCTTATATCTTGCCATGATGAATGTCGATCTATGGCATATTTTCCTCTAATATAACCATGAAAAACTATTACGAAAGACTTCCTCATTCTCCTCCCCCCTTAACCGTTAAACTCTGTTTATGTACAGTATGTGTGTGTGTGTGTCTCTGAGAAACTGATCTCTTCTATAAACGTCTTCTCTGTATCTTGCCAGGCGTCTAAACGATCTGTGGCTTGGATAAATCAAACTGAAATGCAAATCATAGCTAAGGTCAGCTCAGCCTTCTCACAGTGACGCTCCAGTCAGCTCTCATCACACACAAGCACCTTCCATCACACGCTCATAAACAACAAGCGAACACAAAGGTATGAAAGTGTTGCTTTTATTATATTACACTTCTGAGGCAGTTATGAGACTGAATTGCAATACTGCGACTTCAAATGTGGACGGATTAGACTTAAATACATATATATAAATATTTTATTTATAGCCAAATAACATGTCACAATTCTGTATTACATGTAACATTTGTTTAATTTTTGTACCTGAGCAGTCCAGTTTTCATTAATGTTGGTGCAGTTCCAGTTTGTTAAAAAAAAATAATAATCCAAAATATTGCAAAATAAATAAATAAATTAGCCAATAACCAATATGGTTAATGTTGATAAATTGTAGTAAATAATGCATCTATAATCTATTTAACTATATAAATACACTGCAAAGTATCATATTTCTGAAAGACAAGCCAGTTACATGTAGATATGTTGATATTTTATATTCATCTTGGTAGACATGCATTTTATTAATATGTTTACACATATTTGGTGTTTTCTGTACAACTAAATATAGTCAGATGCTGATTTGCAACTATATGAATATGATTTTTTTTAATGTCACTCAGTTATTGTAGTATCAAAGATACATAAAAACAATATGAACCGTGACCAACAATTTTTCATGGAAGTTGGATCTTGTTTGTCTAAGTTTTTGTCCAGAATAAGCTGCCAGTGATAAAATGCCTGTTTTGTTTTGTGGACAAAATGGTATACTGTGTACTTTCATTATTATTAACTATTAATAATTATTGATCATAACATGAAAAGCATCACAATTCAATATGCAATTATTTGTAATTATGGTGATGTGATTACTACTGTCAAAATTTGATCTTAAATGTTTTTAAAACTTTAGAATTACAGTGTAATCCAATAGGAAAGGACAAAAGGAGCAAGTTTTTGTGTAAAGGCCAGTTAGTTAACGGCAAAGGCCATTTGTCTTTTGCACGCAGCATAAATAGTGACACCCCAAACACACACATATCTAACTTCTCTCGTCCCATTAGCAGTAGAATGCAGAGGGCTGGCATTCCCTCCTCCCCTGTCCAGTCCCCTCCTTAATGCTATGGCCAGACTTAGCACTGTCATTTATAGCACAGCACACCATCAATCTTAATAGAAGCGAGAAGTGCAAAGAGTCGATGAAACAGCAGCCATGATAACTATTTCGGCCTGGGAGAGGGAGGAGTAGGACAGGAGAGAGATGAGTGTCCAAGCCAGTAAAAGAGAGAAGGGGACGGGAGAGAGAATCCGTGAAATGCTTGGGAGCCCTGGGAGAGGTTTTCATGTTCCAGGAGAAAAAAAAGAGAGAGATTCAAATCGGATCACTATGTGTTTACATGACTCATCTGATGAGTGATGATAAGAATGTGTGTTTTGGCGCAAATGAGTGTGTCAATTTGTAAATGTATTTTTGTGTGTTCTGAGGGTCCTAAAATTATTCACAAGTATAAAAAACAAAGTTTGACACATGACTTTTAATTATGCCGTAGTGTAAATGATGGGATTAGCAACAGCAAGGTCATGGATTTGATTTCCCCAAAAAAATGATGTCGTATACTGTAAATGCACTGTAAAACGATTTGGATAAATGTGCCTGCCAAATCCATAAATGTAAATGTCTGCCAAACACAACATTCAGGGATGTGTGTAAATGAACAGAAATAAATACAACTGGACTGACATTTCCAAAGTTTTAAGTTTTAGGTAAGCATTAAATGTTTATTATTTTATTTTATTTTTTAGTTTAGTTTAGTTTAGTTGGTGATTTAAAAATTTTTTTTTTGACATTTGATCAATATTGGATATTATTGTACTGATATTTAATTCTCAATTAATTGTATCTAAAATAGATAAAGACAGAAAAGACCAAATCAACTGAATATGCATATTTTTTAAATTTGTACAAATAAACTTTTACTCTTGAATGAATAAATTACATAAAAACAAACCTAACCAGAATGTTTGAAAAATATCAATACATAGCTGTCATACATTGCAAGCACAATAATAATAATAATAATAATAATAATAAGTTTGGAAGAGAAACAGGTGAAAGCAGCAAAGGACAGAACAGAATAAAATGAGTGCTGCTGAGAGGTTGAGATGAGTGGAATAGAAGAAATTTTATCTCTACAAGATGCAACAATTTTAAACTCCCCACAGCTAAATGAGTGTGTGTCATGATGCAAAGCATTCTGGATATATGGACCGTAACCTTTGAGTCCCACATTCCTTAACAGGCCAAGGACACTGCAATATGAATACAGACTCAACACACACACACACAGATACGAGTGACCGATTGCTTTAAACCTTCATGGTTAAAACAAGCTCAAGGCCACTCATGCCAACTAGTGCCCTTACAAACACACACACACACACACACGCACACTTACTAACATAAGAAGTATGTCATTTTCAGCTGTGAAAAATGACATCCTAATTAAATCTGCACCCAAAGGTCTGTCATCACATATATGCGGCCACACACACACACGCATACTCACAAGAAGTAATACAATTCCATCTCTTTACATTTGCTTATCATGCATGGTCTGAAAACTTATCAGTTCAAATTTGCCAAGAATGGATTTGAAATTGAAAAAGAAACTTGTAATAGCATTTTGGCAGATTTTGTGCCATAAAGGCTCACAAAAATGTATGTCTCTCTCCCTCTCACTTTCTCTCTGGTGGGCAGTGAGGAAATCTTGGTTTATTTAGGTTTTTGAGAAGAGCTCTGAGTCCCCCCGGTTCCATCCGGAGGGTTCCTGGACTAGAGTCCACTCTCCCATGACAGCTACATCAACGAGCCGCGGCCCCAAAAACATGCTCTCGTATGCACACACACACTCTCACACATGCGCTCTCTCTCTTAAACACACATATAAATGATTTTTTCTAAGTTGTAAATAAAACTATGTTTTACAAGAAAAAATTTGCATCTTTCTACATCAGTTATTTTGATGTACATTAAATATTTTACATTAAAACAGTAGATTTTATATTTAATATTTCTTTGAAAATTGTTTCAGTGTGTCTATTTCTATTTCTGTTAACTATTTTCACTCAGAAATTGCTAGTAAATTTCACAACTAATTACAAAGACATTAAAGTACAAATATTTAAATAGTATTTTCGTATGAAACACACTACAATAATCTTGTTTACACCCTCAGAAAAACCATTTTTAATAGTGTGTTTTATAAGCAAGGGAGATATGTTGGAGCTCAGAGGTCTTGCTTCTTGTTACCCAGAGTCCCTGGAGTGTCTTCTGATTGGCTGTAGATGTGTTTACATCTGAAAAGGAAGGATCAGCATGGCCACCCAGGTGGCTAGAAGTCCTCAGAGCTGTCAATCAATAAACACAGCTACTGACAACTTTGTAAATGTAACAGCCAATCACAAAGCAGAGATCCAGTAACCAACTGGTACTCAGCTTCATAAGAATTGTAATACACTGCAGCAAAAAAAAAAAAAAAAAAACTCTTTAAAGAGACAGTACACTATTATGTTGATATTTGCTCATCCTTGTGATGGTCCAAACCTGTGGACCATAAAAGGAGAATTTAGAAGAACTTTCCATGAACAGCAGCTCATCTAATAGTGACTGTGAGTTGCCACAAGGGACACAAAAAGCAATATAAAGACACTATAAAAGCATAATCTATATCACTTGTGCTATTTTAAACTTTTCTAAGGTATACAATAACTTTCTGTGAGCAATTATTCAGATATTTGCTCATCCTTGTGATGGTCCAAACCTGTGGACCATAAAAGGAGAATTTAGAAGAACTTTCCATGAACAGCAGCTCATCTAATAGTGACTGTGAGTTGCCACAAGGGACACAAAAAGCAATATAAAGACACTATAAAAGCATAATCTATATCACTTGTGCTATTTAAAATTTTTCTAAAGGTATACAATAACTTTCTGTGAGCAATTATTCACAACAAAAGCAATACAGGTTTGGAACGACATGAAGGTTAATAAATATATACAGAATTTTCATTTTTGTGTATATATAATTTCTTTAACTAGAGCAATCATGCCAAATATATCAGGGATTTTACTGTCACTAAAAACTACAACACAGAGTATGTATATGTATGTGTATATGCGTGTTTATTATTGAGGAGATGACTGCTGAGAGTAACTGATTTTACTGAAAGACACACACAGAGTCTGGAATGACAACATACACATTCTGAGATGAACAAGATTAAAGCGGCCAGAGGATTGTTCTGCCATTTTTAAAGTGTGTAAATCTGTGTTGTGTATGTGCATGTGTGTGAGTTGAGCCATAATCCGAAGGAGTACCAAGGAGGCACACGCTCAGGAGGAGTAAAAGAGCATAAGAAATTACCCACAGGACTACAGTAACACTTCTGATGTGCACACACTCTCTTCTACACACCCACACACACAGTACAGTGTGTGTACAGTACCAACTCAATCCACTGTAACAACAATCAATACTAGGATTAGAAAATCAATCAGATTCTCTTGTCCCATCTGTTCCTGTTAAAGCTAGTTAAACAAACCAACATTACAGTGAGGTGAATACAAGCACAAACACTACTAGATATTGTATGAGAGCTTAACACATTTTAATCTATTCGTAATGATATACAGGGTGGGAAATTAATGTAGAAAATCATTCATGGCAATTTAAATACTATATATTTATTTATTAATTGGAAGAAAATTATACTTTATTCAGCAGGGATGCATTGAATTGATCAAAAGTGACAATAATAACATTTATAATGATACAAATGATTTATATTTTATATAAATTCAGCTTTTCCATCACAGGAATAAATTACATTTCATAATATATATATACAGTTCTTTCGAAATTGAAAAGAGTTAACTGTAATAATATTTTGCAATTTTTTGTTGTTGTTGTTGATCAAATAAATGCAACCTTGGCAGTATTCTTTCTGAATAAAATCTTTTGCTGTGTATATGTAAAAGTCTGAGGTTAGCTTCTGGAAAGAGAGAGAGAGAGAGACATCATTATTGCTGGTAGCCGGATGTGTGGTGACCCCAGAGGTCAGACACAAGCACGGATTATTCCCTGATCCCTATGTGTGTGTGTGTGTGAGAGACGCTGTTAAAACATACTCCTGTATATTGTGACTGCAGGTATAGAGGAAGCAGGGCTTTGAGTTCCACGCTGTGTTTACATCTGACGAGAAGGAAACAGACATATGCAGACCATCCAGACAACCAAAACAGAGTCAATAAAATACAACATAATTTAATTCAAAAAGAATATCTATACCCATGCTAAACTATATAAAGTGATATAATATAACCTAGTTGGTGTCACTAATATTAGGTATTCTTAGTCCCATAACATTTTTCTATAATAATAATAAATAATATTTTTGTATAAAAATATAACAATACTTTATATATTATGTATTCTAATATTTATTCACTTACAGTTAAGTAAACAATATTTGAAAGTCTCTGTTTTATAATATTATAATACATGTATCTCAATATTTTTTGTTAGTTATTTTTGTTTCAGTTTTGGAGCTCATGAACAGCACCACAAATCTGCTTAAAGAGATGAATCGAGAGATTTGGATGTGTAAAAGAGACACCAGCATTTAAGGAATGTATCGACTTTGCGGATCATAAGATCTGTGAGAAGAGCAAACCGCACGGGTGTAACGGATGATAGCTTCACCCGCACACAGTCTCCAGCGCTCACTGTACGGCTTATCAGCCCTGCAGTCAGATGAGCAGCTTCTGCAGGCTCCAACAGGCCTACGAGAAACACTGAGATCAGAGACAGACACAAACACACGTACATCACTTTGTTAATGAACACTAAACTCGCCATATACGCCTACTATGGAGCAAAACATACATACACGCACACACTCAGATCACATTGAGCATCAAATCACGAAACCGTACATCATGACATCATGACAAAAATGTTTTGATGGTTGCTTAGTAACTGTGCTATAATTATGTTTTTATGGCTTGTAGTAAATGATCCAAATATCATGTGTTGTTATGTTGTTTACATGCCCCTCCATGAAGGACTGCGTCTAACTTTCAGCCAAACAGAGCAAAGGAGACTTTCTGCTTCCCAAATCCAAATTGTTCAAGAACAAATGTGATCAATATATAATTCATAAACACATAAATACAAACACACACACATGAGACACTCACACACATATTCTCTGACACCACACACTTACATTCAGAAGTACTTCTTATCTGTACACAAGGCATGTCAGAGGCTGCGTTTACACTTGGCATTAACATGCGATCACCGTGATCTGATCAAGCAGATCGGATCATCAGTCAATCAGGACACGGCGCGTTTACACTTGGCATTAACATGCGATCACCGTGATCTGATCAAGCAGATCGGATCATCAGTCAATCAGGACACGGCGCGTTTACACTTGGCATTAACATGCGATCACCGTGATCTGATCAAGCAGATCGGATCATCAGTCAATCAGGACACGGCGCGTTTACACTTGGCATTAACATGCGATCACCGTGATCTGATCAAGCAGATCGGATCATCAGTCAATCAGGACACGGCGCGTTTACACTTGGCATTAACATGCGATCACCGTGATCTGATCAAGCAGATCGGATCATCAGTCAATCAGGACACGGCGCGTTTACACTTGGCATTAACATGCGATCACCGTGATCTGATCAAGCAGATCGGATCATCAGTCAATCAGGACACGGCGCGTTTACACTTGTCTTTTCAATGTGTATGTGGACAACATCCGGATACAGGTCGCATGTTAATGCCAAGTGTAAACGGAGCCTAGAGTAGCAGGGAGTATCCGTTGCAGCTGTAAGGTTTTCCGGAGTGTATCACATTTGTGATAGTTCTCTGCACACACACCACATTCATACACGCATGCGGACACACAAACACCTACACAAACTGCTCATTTGTCATCTGTTTGTACTTACTGTGCTACCCTTAACTTGTAGAAAACTAACAGAAATGTGCAGCAAATAAATATAAATATTTAATCCATTAGAACAGGACAATTGTAGTTGATGTCTGATGTCTGTTATATTTTTTATATCAGTCTATGTCTATTATAAAGTGAAGGTATTAAGGTATGTGACCGCTAAACAATTTGGTTTTATTAATTAAAGTGTGAATACATATTTAATTAATTATAAGTAAATAAATCAATTAATAAATAAATATTATTATATTAATTGATTAATTTGTGTGTGTGTGTGATCAGTTACTCCCCAAACTTCAATATATTCACATTATAATAAATTATATATATTCATATTATTACTTATAAGTAATTACACTCAACAACAACATTATATTATAGTGTAATAGTTTAGTATTAACTATTCAATTAATAAAACTGATTATTAATATGCTGATTAAGTCGTCTCATTTATATAGCGCTTATACAACCCAGATTGTTTCAAAGCACCTTTACAGTAACAGGAAAACAACAGTGTTAATGTTACAAAATTAATCAATTATGATTTTTTAATTCATTAATACTAAATATTTTAGGGCTGCAAAATGATTAATCGCGATTAATCGCATCCAAAATAAAAGTTTATGTTTACATACTAAGTGTGTACTGTGTATATTTATTATGTATATATAAACACACACACACACACATATATATATTTATATATATATATTTGTATGTATATATATATATGTAAATAATTTATATGATATATAAATATAAATATTTTATATATAAATCTAACATATTTTTCCTTAATATATGCATGTATCTGTGTGTATTTATGTATAGATAATAAATATACACAGTACACACACATATAGTATGTAAACATAAACTTTTATTTTGAATGTGATTGATCGCGATTAATCATTTTGCAGCCCTAATAATAATGTACACACACACACACACATATATATATTTATATATATATATTTGTATGTATATATATATATACTTGTAAATAATTTATATGATATATAAATATAAATATTTTATATATAAATCTAACATATTTTTCCTTAATATATGCATGTATCTGTGTGTATTTATGTATAGATAATAAATATACACAGTACACACACATATAGTATGTAAACATAAACTTTTATTTTGAATGTGATTGATCGCGATTAATCATTTTGCAGCCCTAATAATAATGTGCTGATTTAATGAAACACTATTTATAACAAATTATTAATTAAACAGCATAATTAATTAGATAAAAATTTTAATCGATTGACAGCCCTACTCTTTTTATCTCTACATGTCTTCATATTCTAGCTATATTTCACTTATCAGGAGCTTTATAGGAATGGTAATTTTCAGACAGACCAAGTGCTTCAGCACTCCTTCAACTGCTCTGGACTCGTGTTTTTTGTCTGGGTGAGCAGGTTATTGAATCGGGTGTGTTCTGAACTGACAGATGATTTGTGTAAATGTTAAAGGCCAGTGGGTTGTAGAGAGCAGGTTAGTGGTTTTACTGGAAGGTTTTACTGGTTTGATCATTACTGGCACCTAGAGAATCAGACAGATGTTGAGAAACTGTTAAAAAGACACCACAAAACCATGTGTGAGTTAAAAAAGAAAAAGATGAGGACAAAGCGAAAGGTGTGTGTGTATTGTTAAACTTGTTTTTTAATATCAAGGTAATAAAGTCAGACCGCATGAAACGAACACATACAAACAGACACACGCAGGCACTTGCACAGACAAACACATCCTTCTCATGCTTGTCAACACCCGTTATGCCGGCTTTGAACTGCAGGGATCCAGAATGACAAACAGTGGCGCCTCCATCCAATCCTAATCAGAAGATATATCTCATTCACACCCCTACAAACCCTCATTTACACACACACTCACTTACTTCTCACCCTTGTCCAGATCTCCTTCTGTTGTCTTCCAGCATTTCTACACTTACTGATGTGAGCAGTGGGGCATGACAATCAGAAGAATCTGTGTTCTGATTGGATGACTGATTGGATAAGGGGAGGGGCTACAACAAGATCCCTTACATTTACTGATGAAGCTTATCAGCATCAGAAAAAAGCATTTCATCTGAGGATGTAAACAAAAACAAACAGTTTCTAAAGAGGTTAAAACCATTTTTGTAGTCTGTGTTCACTCAACAATTTTGAGTAAATGTCACAAATGATTACACTTCAAACATGAAATTCTGAAGACTGAAATAATATTTTCTTGTAAAATGTACTTCAATAATCGGTTTTATTCACAACTTTGAAAAAATATTTTTACAGTATCATTTTCAAATATTTCATTAAATACTGATTAAATGTACATTTTATTTTAAATACCTATACTTATTTAAATACAGAAAAATTACTTTGTTACTCATAAAATTTTTTTAAATGGCCTGTCATGCACGGACAATAAAAATACATTTATAAAATAAAAAATGAAAATGTTGCATGTTATAATTGTTTTTTTTTTAAATAATTAATACACGTTTAGTATACACTTTTACCTGTTCAGTGTAACACTTTTCACACTTTTTTTAAATGATCATGTATGACAATGCAAATTTAAATTGTATGTTTTTTAATGGCTTTTTAATGTACTAGAAGGTTTTTTTTTCAATATTCAATGACTGATTGAAACGCAAAACATTAACACTGCCATTTTATGTATTGAAACTTTAAAGCTGTTATGTGTGTTTGTGTTTTTGTCTGCGTTTGTCACCCTGGATGTGTTTGAACAGGTTGATTGACAGCTTCCTACAGGCTTCTGCTGTGTAGGAACAGCATGATAAATGGCTCTGATGGCATTAACCAACCATGATAAAGTGGGCCTCCTCACTCACAGAGTCAGGTGGAACGAGTTGACTCATAGAACTACCATAAAGTTCGTCCCTCTGGTGCAGCTGGAATGCATGTCCTTACCATTACTGTTAGTGGTCATGCTGGTAGATGAGAGACTCAGAGTTCACTGCCATGACTGTGACATCAGACACTGTGGGATGGGAAATCAATACACCAGGGCTTCTAATTCAAGACGGGCAAGCTTAGTAATTTGAGGTTTAATCTAAATTTGCTTAAAGGTAAAGAGAGTAGTTTCTATGTTAAAATGCTTTCTCCTATTGGTTTAATGTGATAACGTTGTGTTACAGTTATACACCATATAGATGCTGACCCACAAATGTCGACATATATCCACATTCACTCATTCAATACAATGAGTTTATGACACTTTTACAGCATATTTAGTTAACAAAAACTCATGTACCTCCTAAATATGAATTCCATTTAGTATAAACAGTACTAAAATTCAGCAGAAAATTAATTCCTAAAATTAAGGAACGTTTCACACTATCTGTCAAATCTATCTTTATACTCAAACTCTGAGTATTTGATTACTACCTGGTTTATGGTGTATTTTGAGTCCGACATAACCAATTCAGCAGTCTCCAACTAGATCACTGAATTATTGTTGTTGACTTGAAAACAACTGCAATCAGATCAGTCCAATACATGATCAAATCATTCAGTGCAAACTTTCAGTGCAATCTGTGGTAACACTTTATTTTGGTGGTACCTTTTGAACATTCTGTTGACACTAAGTAACGTTGGACCTACATGTCAACTAACATCTCAACTCTCATTAGAGTATAAGTAGACTGTCTGCTTCGTATCGGCTAACTCTTTATTGTGACAGTCTCCCAATAGACATTCTACTGACTATAGGTAACTTTGCAAGTACATGTCAACTTATTCTAACCCTAACAGTCGACTAATACTATAGGTGCAACATTACAATAGTCAACAGAATGTGTTAAAGGGATCATCAAAATAAAGTGAAACCCAATCGGGGAACCGATTTAACAACTTCACTGAAATCAATCAACAAGAATGATTTGTTCAAGATTTCTCCAGTTCTATATATACGTAGTATTTTAATGAAATATAGAGTATAAAAGTAAGATAATATGCTTTGATATGCAGTAAAGTAAAAGTTTTCCAAAATGAAAATACTCCGCTAGTATACACATAAGCTGTAAAATAATAATAATAATAATAATAATAAAGCAACAAGCGGCAAAGCACAGATATTTCTCAGAAGTTGTAGTTGTGCCAACTAATTTTTCAAAGTTAGACTGGTTGTTTTAAGCTAAATAAAACCTTTTCAACAAATACATGCAGTATTTATTAAAGGGATAGTTCACCTAAAATGAAACTTCTGTCATCATTTTCTCACCCTCATGTTGTTCCAAACCTGTAAGAATTTCTTTCTTCTGCTGAACATGAAAGAAG